AGACACTGAACCCCTCATTGCCTCATGTGTCCCATCGGTGTATGAACGTGATCTAGCACTGATTATTCTTTGTGTAGATCTACTAGAGTGCTGTATGAATGAGTCAATGAAGGCACAGATTGTGTTGTAAAGAGCTTTGAGTATCTTGATAAGATAGAAAGGAGCTCTATAAGTACAGTCCATTTACCATTTTACTAAAAGGTATTTGAGGTCTGAAACCACCTTGACTCAGATTTATGCTGTTGATTTGCTGTTTTAAAGAATATTAAACTAATCATATCACGGAGAGTTCACAGAGACACCCGTCACGGTCTGGCACCTTTTTCACTGTTTCCAAGACGTAGTCGAGGCAGTAGAGGACGCTGAACTAACGGAGGACCAGATGGCTCTGTGTGTGTGTCAGCCTTCCTGCTGCTCTGATCGGAGCTAATTAACACTCAGCTGATCTGAGACCAGCTTGTCGGCCCGCGTGCATTAGCAGCACAAGCTCATTATACTGGTCTGCTGTCAGCTCCTCTCCATCAGAGCGATGCAGCTGTGATGCTGCTGCTCCATGTGTCAGACCGTCCCAAATGAGGAAGAGGTGAGGAGCGCGTCGGCGCCAAAGGAAACCCGGTGCGCCCCAGCTCAGGTTGTTAGCATTTAGAATGAAACCCCCCATTTGTTCTGCTCATGTGGAACTCTGCAGACAAACTCACCTCTGGGGAAATCAACTTGGAGAGTGGCGTGCACTCGTTTTGAACACAGTTTTATTATTTGTTTTAACGCAAGCTGTCTGCAGGTATTTCAGTCTCACGTGTGTGCAACAATAACCAACATAGCTGTTCGCTGTCCCCCCCCCCCCCCCCCTCCATCTTTGATGAAATTTACATTCCTTTACACACTCACAAAAGGTTAACTTAACATACAAGCTGAAAAAAGCTGCCCATGGTAGCATTTCATAAAAGCCTCAATCAATCTTCATACAAAACCACGCCACCGAACACCCCCAGCTGGGATTTTTAAGTAGTTCATCTGGTTTATGAAGGCCCGTCTGCTCCTGAGAGCCCCCCTTGGTGAGTTTGATAGCTTCTTTTCCTTGTATATGTGCTTGAGTGTGTATATGTGTGTACATAAACTATTTCTTGCCTGCGTGACAGATTTACTGGTGAAATAGCTGCGGGTGCTGAGCGTCTCCAGGGGGTTAAGTTGTTGGGAGGGCAGGGGGGTCTGCAAGCCGCCCATCAGGCTGCACAGAGAGAGATGAAGTCACTTAATGCATGAACAAACGAGAAGGAATAATGAGAGCTCCATCTGTGGGCCCTCATCCTGCATGATATTTACATCTAAATCCATTTTCTCTTGGCTCAATTTGGTGTTTTTACCTTCATAACTATTTTTGTTCTATCTGATCAAGGATCAGTTTACAAGTCAGACAAAAAGGAGAACAAAGGGATGAAGGGATCTCAGCTGAAGAGAACTCGATAAATATCTGCTGGAAGTGATTCTTACTCACATTCATGTTTGTTCATAGAACATCATATTTTCTTTAAAACATGTCACCACTGCTGACTTTAAGTAACTGGAAATTAGAAATCCCGTGTTGCTTTTGTACAAACCTGACAACAACATGCAAACAGACTTTTTAATTTACAAAGGGAGGTGTCAGTCACGTGACGGTACAATTATTCATGTTTTACTCACTTCCTGTGGCATCAACAATATTTTAGACATGGCTGTTAATTCAAGCAGAACCCCCTTTTCCTTGCCTTTACTCCTTCATTCTAATATTCCCCTTTCCTCCAGTTGCACCCCCCCACCCCCCACCCCAGCTTCAATTGCTTCATCCATCCTCCCTCTATCTCCCCTGGTGACTACTTCACCCCCCAGGCATGGCAGCTGCCTTCTCCTGTAGGCATTACATCACTGCAAGAGCAGCCCTGTTACTGATCCCTTGACAACCAGCACTACCAACACACACACACGCACACACACACACACACACACACACACACACACACACACACACACACACACACACACACACACACACACACACACACACACAAAGAAAAAAACATTGCACTCATGCATGTATGTATTTAGAGTAAATAAATTGCTAACTCCTGCAGGAATGTCCTCTGTCTTTCTCTCACCTTTGCACCATTCATCCTCCACTTTGCACACACACACACACACAAAGGTCCACACTGAAAGCTGAACACACACATTAACTCATCACCCTAACCTGCCTGATCCAGAGGATGACGTCTCTCTTTCCTGAGATATATCTTGACAGATGATCTGCGGTGTCGGATGACGCTCCTGTCGCTGCCTGTCTCCGCTGGAAGGAAACCAGGAGACAGGCTGCGACAAAACATTAAATGAAAAATATTTTCATACTTAATTTATTATTTATTTGCTAACTTTAGGGGGAAAATTTTTGAAAAAGTTACTTTTTTATTTTAAGGTGTTTGTAGTTTATCAAATAAATAAAAAAGGAATTAGTTATCCTAGTTTTATGCAAATATATTTTTATTAATGCATATTAAATTGTCTGTAAAAAATGTGTCTTGAACAATTGTACTGTAAATCTGTGGAACTTTAATAGGTAAAGAATGGTCTTTTTTTACATTTTACAAATAAAAATCTCTTGCTCTGCCCTTCATGGTTTCATCAGATTTATTGGACCACATTTGTTAATTAAACTGCATTAGTCATTCAAAATTAAAAATTGGTTTTAAATATATTTTCTCAAATTATTACTTAGACAAACATTTGTAAAAGAGTTAAAAAAGTGAAGGAGGCATTAAACATTTTTTACACCGTATGAAGCACTTATCACATTTGTGTGACCTAATAAACACATTATTCATCATTTTTATGCTACAGTAGAATTTCATGATTTTTTTTTTTACCATTAATCTGCCAAATATCAAAACATCTCATCAAGACATAATTTGACCTCCTCCTTGTTTTAAAACCCGCACAACTTTCTCAGTTTTACCCTTTACCTCCATCTTCCCCACCCTCCACCGTCTATCTGTTTTGGTTGTTCTCTATAAATGTGTGTATATAAACTGTGCGTTGTCCCAGCAACAAGCCCCCCCACCATTAAAAACATGCTCTAAATCCAACAAGGCATCTTAGAGGAGGGGGTGTTCAGTGTGACTATCCTGGCACATGTGTGCAGTAAATAAAAAAGGCTGGCTGTCATTTATAGAAACGTAGCCGTAATTCTCTAATTAACACATCTACTATTTTGAGCCTCCTCCTGAGGACCGTACGAGGAGGAGGAGGAGGAGAGGGGTGTTTGCTGCAGACACTTAAAACAGCATCCATCTTTTAAAGCTTAGACTCTGGTTTTGTTGGCTTTCACTGCTGCGGGGTGTAAAACTAATTTATAGGCTCAAGGACTGAGCCCCATACAGAGGAGTGACGGAGCAGGGTGTTTAATAGTGATCTTTGTTCACCATCGTGAAGCATCACTCCGCAGGTGGAGAAAATGTGCAAGTCTGTCTTACAAAGGTGAGTCTGTGTGCATGAGGGATTTATAATGTGATGCTCCCCGTATCTGCATTTGTCACAAAGCTCATCAAATCAATGCGACCCATTTCCTCTGTGTCCATCTCCTTTGTTGAACAGAGGGGGTGACGTAAGGCTGTGTCCTCAGTCGTGTGTGATCATGTGTAGGGGGGTCCACAATGATGAGATGAGGTCAGTCAGCGTGCAGCTGGCCTCCTCTCCAGACATCTTGTATATTCTTAATTGTCTTCCTTTGAATCTGAGCAGTGACTTAATGTGCCTGAGGTCCATATGACCTGGTTTGAATGGAATCAGTGTGTTATCGGCCAGAACCCAAACAGACTGGAGGAATATTTAACTAACCTTTCTGTGTTCTCCAACTTTGGTTTTGTGCAAAAGCTTGCACAAACGCAACAAAAATCTAAGCACTGTTTAGAAAAGCACCGTATTTTTCGAATTATAAGGCGCATGAAGCGAAACAAAACAGTCAGATAAGTCAAACTTTTGATTCATTCAACCTTTATTTATACAGGTTAACCCACTGAGCCTCAGGGACTCATTTTCAAGAGAGATCTGATCACTTTATTCAACTCATTCACAATAACCACATAAAACGGATTTGAGGTCAGTAAGCACAACCAGAATTAATACATAAGGTGCACTGGATTATATGGCTCACTATTGATTTTTGAAAAAAATTAAAGGATTTTAAGTGCACCTTATAGTCTGAAAAATACGGTAATCAAATGTACATACCAAGATTGGTAAAAGTAAAAGTTATGTTCGAGGAACAAATGTACAGCCATCCATTGTAGTTTTGATAAATATGTTGTGACATGATCAAAATTTTTAGCATTCCATACTAAAGAACCAAGAGAACCATGGATGACTGTTGAATACCACAAACTTGTTTGGCCTCATTGCCTCTCTTCTATTTATCATCAGCTGACTTCTTTTTGCTTTTGAATCTTTTGTTTTTTTTAGTTTATCTCACTGTTCGTCTTCTCTGCTCTTCACCACTGCGTCCTAAAATGAGAACGCACTGTCCGTAGGAACATTAGACGTCCACCAGCACAGGAAATGTTTATGAAGTTACACACATTACATCACCTTTGGAGGAACATCGTCTGTAAACACACTGACAAAATCCTAATCCTTGAAGTATTTTAGGAGACGCACTGGGCTTTGAACCATTACATCAAGATAAAAATACATAATTTCAACGTTTAGTGGTTATTTTGCACAAAAGCTAACCGTTTTATTCTAATATGGATTATTTGGAAATCTTTTCATGTATTGAAAACTATTTTGTCATACATGGAAGCAAATTTTTTACTCTGGCTGGACAACACAGACCTTTTAAAAGCATTGTTTTTGTGCTAAAAGCTTGATGGCTTCATCTTAGCGTCCATTCTGCCCAGATCTGCTTCATAGCTGGGCCCCTGAGGTGGCTGCATGCTTGCTGGATGAGTAAGGAATGTGGTTACGTGCCTTAGATATTAGCTATGACGGAGCGCTGGCTCCACAAGAGACGGAGGCAGCAGAGAAGGAAGAGGAGGAGAAGGAGGCGGGATGTTGGTTAGAGTCTGAGCTCACGGCAAGTGAGCTCATTCAACCTCAGAGCTTGAAGAGCGAGTGTGGCTCCGTCGTTCCCCTAACAGAGGGAGTCAGAGGAGGAGGGAGAGGGAGGAGTGTGAGCCGGTGACGGAGCGAATCAGAGACGAGGAGAGAGGATCAGAACAACAATAGTGGGCTGCTCTCCTGGCTCTGGACTCAGAGACAGAGAGAGCGCTCAGAGGAACACACAGACACTCTGTAAACCAGCTGCAGGCGGATCACAGCTGCTGTTTACATCCAGATGTTACAGGCTACTCTGTATTTTGTTTCTTCGTGCTCCCTCTGATGCAACCCATCTTCCAAAAACCACAAATTGCTAAATATTGACCTAGGAGCATTCTAGGAATTTTTGTGGTTGTTGCACGAGACTGGCGGTATGTTGACTTGAGGACATTTTGGACTTTTATTCGGTTGTCTGGGGTTCTTTTTATCCTGTAACTCCCTGGACAGTGAAGCAATTATTGGACCAGAGTGGACTTTTAATTTTTACTCTCAGCCTGGGGGGCTTTACTCAATTGCCCCTTTTAGGAAGAACATTTCTATTTGTTTGTTCTGATATTTTTGTTTGGTGAAGGGGTCGTTTCATCCCTGAAGAATTACCGGAACATTTCTGCATCTGTGCGTGAAACAGAGTTTGTGTTGGTGGAGGGGGATGCCTTTGGATGTGGTGATCGCCCCAGCAGAGGACTGCTTTTGGCCAGATCTGCAGGACACAGACATGAGGCTAAAGATCAGAGTCCGCCGGATGAAGCAGGGAAGGGAGCTCAGAGGTGTGTATCCACCTGGAGAAAGTAGAAATATAACTAGAGCATCCTTTTTTTGCAGACATAGGATACAGGTCTGTGTCAGGTGTGCATGCTTAAGATTAATATTTCTTAAAAATGCATTTTGGAGTTGCAAACTTGTAGAATATTCCTTCTGTAAGGATAAAAATGCACTGCATATGAATACAAAGGCATCATGCACCCTCAGGTATTCCAGGCCATTCATACTGTAAAGGAAAGGTCGGCGTGAAGTGAATTATAAAGATAATTTCCAAATAAATAGCAAATTTACAAAGAGCAGAAATAAAGCCAAATCTGCATATTGTTCCGCATGTATTCTCAGTTAATGTGTTTACAGAAAAAGAATGGGATAAAACGGGGGTAGTGGAGGGATGACATCATGAAGATGAGATGCAACGAAGAGGAAAGAGTGGAGAGAAAATAGCTTCAGGGGAAAGATTGAGAGCCATGACCCACAGTATGACATAGAGCTCATATTCTCTCAGCCTGTGGTCATTGAGATGTTAAGCTGGTACAAAGGCTCTTTCTCAATCTTCTGCTCTGCTCAACTCTTCTGCAGAATGGTGTCTTGTGGAGATGATGTTATCAATGTGTGTGCAGGGTGCACTGCAGGTGTTTAACATAACATTTCACTGAGCGATGAGACAATGCAGACTAAAAATCCAACAAAAAAAGTCATGCATATTTAGCTATTCATCATAATTAATCCTGTTGAGTTTAAAATATAGAAGAATAAGAGGTGAAAATCCCTTTATGTGACATCAGAGCAGTGGTTTAAAGCTGTTAAGTTGGCAGCTCAGTGCACCTGCCACTCTTCACACTTAGTGCACATGCACTCCATTTAGCTTCACACAGCCAGCGGAGACAAAAAAAAAAAAATCACACATTTGTCCTCATCAGATAAGAATAGAACTATGTCACAGGTACAGAGTGATGTTAACACGTAGCAGTGAAAATCAACTTGTGAACACAAACTAAAATATAGACGCATTTATGGGCCTTTATTGCTGTAACACTGCTGAAACAGCAGTTGATCAAAGTGGCACAGTCCCGCTATCTGTCCAGAGATACAGCAACAATAAACAGTTTAACCATCAACAAAATATGTTAATCATATGCCGTCATAAAGCTGACACCATGGATGAAAAACAATGACCTCATCTTGCTGCTTCATTCGTATTCTGTCAGTCTCCTTTTTTTTTTTTTTTTTTGACTGAATCTTAAAAAAAACCCACAAAAAACCCACTTGCGTTGCTTCAGCACAGCCTTTGTGTAGCTGAGAGGGACATGTGTGCAATGATGTCATGTTGGGAGGCTGAGGGGGCTCACATTGAGATGCTAATGTCCCCTCACAGTGGAGGGGACAGCTGGAGGGGCACAGAGATGGCGTCATGTCTCCCTAGATGTGTACCACAGAGGAAAGCGGCAGAGGGGTGCAGGGCAGTCATTCAGGCAAATCAATGTCCTTCTTGGCTATTGTGGTGCGTGTGTATTTATGTACACCCCCCTCCCTCCTCTTCATTAAAGGTAAAGAAGGCAGCTGAAAGCTACAGAGGCTGAAGCACCCTCACTGGGGAGGGTGGATGAGTCTCTATTGACAAGACAGTCAATTGTACCCGTGGCAGTGATGTAACAGCAGAGTTCCCATTAAATAACGGTCAGGCAGGTGTTGCATGAATCTTTATCTCTGGGTTTTCCACTGGCATTAAACTTCCCGATACTTCCTCTGCTGTACAGTTCTGAAAATCCTGAGTTTGACTCAGATACCCAGTCCTTAACAGTTAAAATACTTGTCTAAACAAGGTGTAGAAAATGTCTTTCTTATGCCAGCATAGATCCTTAATAAAGAAATGATTCAGGGTCCAAGTTATCAGAGTTTATACATAGAGAGAGGACTCAGTACTGGTGGACAAAGAAGGCCTAGATTCTACATTTTGGCAGAGCAGCAGAAGAAAATAATCGGTTGCATAAATGATGAAGTGGGCAGAGAAGGACGGAAAAAGGATGCCGATGGCGACATGGTGCCCTTTTTCCTGGTTATGTACTTTCTTTCTGCCTGAACATTTGTTACATATTTTACAGCATGCATTCAGAACTGGGTTAGTCATTTCCTGTTCTAGTTTATTTTCACGACTTTAAGCGTTTGACTTTTTGCTTTTGTGCAATCTCTTATCTCTTAGTAAAAGAAACACAAATGTTCTCTGTGGAACAGAGTGCAGTACATTTAGATTTTGTCTTTCTCTGTAATTGTTGCGGTAAGTTGCGTTTCACTTTAACATCAGGGTGAACTCATCTCTCCCTGTTTGACTTGCTGATGTCATCCTTGTAGACAGCTGGGCTGCTGTGTGTCACTGGGTATTTTCTGTGACTTCAGTATGACTGTACAGTTTGTTTAGATTGGAAGGGACACATGCCATCATTGTTAGGCCATGTCTCTGGGCTTTTTGGTACTCGCTGGGCATCAGCATGTTTATATGCCCTTTATCCTCCCCACCCATCTTGACAACACTCGGAGCGACAAGTTGAGCCAGTTGTCATCAACATCACCGTACTTTCTTGTCGTCATGGCAACCTCAACCAGAGCAGGTTTAGGCAACAAGGGACCAATAACACACTATCTTTTCTATGACTAATGCCCATTAGCTCTGGCCGTGTAAAGCTTTGATTACAGGAAGGTGTTTGGAAAACAGAGACAAACACTTAATTCTGCTTCTTATCTTAGACTTCATCTTCCTCTATGCCAGTAACCCCTTACTCATTCCCTCAGTCACACGTTCCACTCTTTAAAATGTTTACTTAACACCAAATCGGATCTGCTGCATTGATCACTAATGTAATTATTAATCTGAAAGATAAAAAAGGGCAAAGGAGGAGTACTTGTTATGTTTTCACATCCCTTCATTCATGCAAACACACTTTCTCTTCAGCGATAGCCACTCGCGCTGTGGAACATCCTGTCTTCAGTTCTTCTAACAATAATTCTAACAATGTCTTTACATAAAAGGGGAAATAGTTGCTGCGTGACATGAGGCCTTTCCTGTTAACTGCTTCCAGGAATGTAGCATGTCCTTAAACAGACACAATAGATATTACTTTTTTTGTGTGTGCTTGCTTATATTTTATAACAACAACAACAACAAAAACTGCCTGGAAACCGATAAACCAAAAATAAATTCTTCAACAAGCCCTTGGTTCATGTTTTATCAATTAGTGATGATGTAGCGCTGCACTATGGCTCACCAGTGTGCGTCTGGTGGAAGTGTAGAGTAAACTACAGTTTGTTTAGGAAACACTAAAGAGCTCAAAAAGGTTAGGTCACAAAGTCACGCTGGCGCAGGAGCACTCCCTCAGTTTTTGCATTAGGGTTTTTCTCTGAAGTTATTTGATTACAGTACTCTTTCTGCAACCACCCTTCTCTCCACCCCCGTGTGAAGCACTGATGTCATCGCTCTGTCGGTTGCCATTAATAGCTGGAAACAGACAGGCCTTCTTCGTTTTGCTCTTAAAGGGACAGCGCGCTCTGAATAGCACTGGTTCACGATGATTTCACTGTTCAGAAGCTGTGCTGTCGTGAAACGACTTCAAAAAGCTTATCGTATCTGAACTCTTGCACAACTTCTTATTTTGTCAGTTATTTACCAAGAAGGGAAACCATTGCTGGAGATGTGCTGCAAATTATGTTGAAATTGTTTGTGTTGTGGAATTTGAGTCTCAGCCAGGTATTGCTGCATGAATTGTGCCGCTGTGTTACAACAGACCCTGTGTGCAGAGTGCTGTGTGTGCTACTTTTGAACAGTGATGTCATGTGTCACTCTCACTCTAAGTGTGAGTTTAGTGCACACACTTTGTCCCAGATTGGGTCAGGCAGGGCTGAACCCAGATTAGGTTCTAATCTTCTTTCTGGGGCTCAGTGTTTCCTTGAAGCACACCCTTCTCCCTTCAACACTTCTCTAATAAGAGGTCATTACCTATTCCACAACACACAGACACACACCTCATCCCTAAATCCTTGCACTCTTTCCTACCCTATAGTTATACAACCACAGTACTGCAGAGTAATGATGAATGTATGTGAGCATTAGGTGGAGAGACCATTAAAACCACAGTGAACGTTAAACATATGTTCTTTACTACATTTCTTTGTGTTAATGTGTGTGTGTGTGTGTGTGTGTGTGTGTGTGTGCAGTTGTCAGTGGATGTTGCTGAGCTTCTGTCCTGGCCCTGCACCTGTGGCCTCTTTCATTCCCTCAGCCTGACGCAATGCTCTGCTACAGGACATGAGCTCATGCAGGAAACAGAGCCACACACACATGCACATATGTCAAAAGTGGAGCCGCCTGCCTCTTAAAGGGCCAGACGCACATTCCTGGTCATCCAGCAGTCAACCTAACTTGCACACAGAAGCACAGAGAGCCTCTCTTTTTCTTTTTCTTTTCTTTTTTTTTTGCTTCTGTTTCTCCCAGACATTGCAGCCCAGATTCAACCTCTGAATGTCTATTGAGCGCATGTCTGCCATGCCAATGGTGGTGCGGTGCTCATGATGCGTTCATGGGAGCCTTTGCAGAGTTTCCACTGTTATGTGACTGTTCCATGGAAAATCATTAGTGCACCTAACAGTTTTATTTTTTGTCTTCTCGTCTCTCCCTGCAGGAGGCTTTGCAGCTTTCTCCTCCTGTTTCCCTGGCCTGTGTGAGGGGAAGCCAGCCACTGCTCTGCCAATGAGCTTGTCCCAGCCATGTCTGCCAGTGGCTAACGTAGGACTCACTCGCATTCTGCCACACCTTTACCTGGGTTCACAAAAAGACGTTCTTAATAAGGTACAATTTATTTGGCGTCACATTTTATAAAACATTTCCTGGCAACAACACATGACCTTACACCCCTTTTTCAAATTGTTTTAGGATCTGATGGCTCAGAATGGGATAACCTATGTGCTAAATGCCAGCAACACCTGTCCCAAGCCAGACTTCATCAGCGAGAGTCATTTCATGCGCATCCCAGTTAACGACAGCTACTGTGAGAAACTGCTTCCCTGGTTGGACAAAACGAATGAATTCATAGGTATGAAACAGCAATTTAAAAAAAAAAAGTTCCAGTTGTGTTTAAATTGAAAATGAAGAACAACAGCCTATAATACAATAGACACTGAGGGAGGAGTCTTTACAAGGAAGTGGGTTCATCTCAAGTTATGTGTCAAAGAATGCTGCGATATTTAATACAACATATCCACACATTGTCACAGTTAAGAAGCTTCCACATACAGTTTGCATTTGAATAGAGCTAGTTATAGGATGTCAGGCTCCCTTCACTCTTCTAGTTAAAGACCGATTGTCTCCAGAGGCCCTCTTCTAAAAAGAAGACCTGTCAAAGATGTACAGTATTGTGTGTATTTGTGGATAGATGCATCAATTCATACTTGCCTATTTCCTTCCCAACAGACAAAGCAAAGGTGTCAAACTGCAGAGTCATTGTGCACTGCCTGGCAGGAATCTCACGTTCAGCAACCATTGCCATCGCATACATCATGAAGACAATGGGCTTATCATCAGATGATGCCTACAGGTAAGCTTACCTCCACCCACCTCCAACCCCAACAGGAAGGTGACTTGAGTGTTGAAAGAAATATTTTTGGTGTAATGGACTTTGTTAGGCTGTTGCTAGGTAGCAGCATTTTTACTGTAAGGTTTGTTTTGCCCTGTCAGGATATTATTTGCAGAGTATTATGTAGTTTTGCAGCACTAAGTTAGTTCCCAGCACACACTTTTGTCACCTAAAGTAAATCTTCAGATGTGACTCGATGCAAACACTTACCATTGGTAGCACTCTCACCATTGCAACACTGCTTTCATGGTTTTTATATGACTTATTTTATTTTGTCTTTTTCCAGGTTTGTAAAGGACAGGAGACCATCCATATCCCCAAACTTTAACTTCCTGGGTCAGTTGCTGGAGTTTGAGAAGGGTCTACGATTACTCCAAGCTTTAACCACTGATGACAACATCTCTGAAAACAACACTAAACAAAGCTCTGAGATTAACGGGGTCACCACAGGTTTCGAGATGAATGGTCACCAAACCAACTTTGACTCAAACAGGGCAGAGACGCACATCCCACCAGAACCCAAGCTTCCATCCCCCACCTCCCTCCAGCAAGGCTTCAACGGTCTGCACCTCTCTGCAGAGAGGATTGTGGACACTAACAGGCTCAAACGCTCCTTTTCCCTGGACATTAAGTCAGTGTATTCTCCTAACAGTATGCACTGCCCCAGCATGGCACCCAACCATTCTGAAGACATCCCCAAGCTTTGCAAACTTGACAGCCCTGGATCAGGCACCACCAATGGGGTCTGCTCTCAGTCACCCGTCCTAGATAGCCCCAGCTCTTATGATTCTCCATTCCCTTCGCCAAGCAATGGGGGAAGCATAGGAGGTTTGGGGCTTGGTGGAAATGAAGGAGTCCATCGATCTGGTACCTCCTCATCCAGATCAAGGAGGAAAAATAAGCACAACTGTGGAAGTTCTCCAGTCCACACCCATACAAACCAAGCTCCTCAGTCCCTCAGCTTGTTGCTTGACCACAAGAGCCCTAGTCTGGATGACAACCTAAAGGGGTCTGCGCTTCTCTCACTACCGTCCCTGCCCACTGTGGGGTCTGAGGCCATGTGGACCAAACACAGAGACACTGTTCAGGCTACCACTCCAGTTACTCCGGTTACTCCAACCACAGATGCTCCCTGGCATTTTGGTGCAGAGGAAGGTGGTGAGGGAGCAATGGAGTTGGGAGGAGGCGATGGAAGGGGAGAAGAGTCATCACAGAGGTTCGGGAGCAGCTCAGCATATGTGGCGTTTGGGTGCAGCGAAAGTGTAAGGTTACGAGAAAAATCCCAGCGGGAGAAGTCCTTGGCACCACAGACACAGAGAGACCACTGGGACTCAACGTCATCATCAGCAGTGACCAACAGTGCATCTTCATCTGAAAAACAGTTCAAGCGACGCAGTTGTCAGATGGAGTTTGATGAGGGCATCTCTGAGACGAGATCCAGAGAAGAACTGGGGAAGATTGGAAAGCAGTCGAGCTTCTCTGGAAGTATGGAGATCATTGAGGTGTCCTGACAGATAAGGGGCATTTTCAGAGCTGTCCCTTGGAGGCCAACATGGACCTGTTCAAAGGGAGTGCAAGAAGATAACTTATGAAGTGGAACAAAAGACGTTTTTGTGCTCCACTCACTCAGTGTTAAAGACTCCAACTGAGGGAAGGACAATTGTGAGCTGATAGTAAATGTGAAAAGGTAGCAAACTAGGACAGCCTGGACAGACAGAGCTTCAGATGTGCTGCTTAGCTAAAACCACCCATTCTGAACACCTCTATGAAATCTGAGGAAAAGCCTCAGAAAGAGGGAGGTAAATGGGGTTGACTGCTGGTACTGTGTGTTTAAATGTCTATGAGCTCTGTCACTGATTTAAAAAATACTCCCAGGCAAATGTCATGTTGCATCCTTGCATCCTAAATGTATAGAATTCCCTGAATTTTGACAGAGCTCAGACAAACTATTTGCCTGTGGTCAAATGTACTGTGCTTCAGTGGGAGTGTAGCTTGTGATTTTAACCCTCCCAATGCTTCACCCCTGTGTCAGAGAGCCTCAGAACCATGCACGGCCACATCCACCCACCTCCCCTGAGGCTCAACCTGCCCCAAATGCTGCAAACATTGACGACAATGGTGGACTCCTTAACAGTACAGTCTTCTCACATCCTCTCAGCACAAGGTGGAGCGATCCTAAGAACTTTCACAGAACGACGGTACTGCTTTCTAATAATGAAGAATCTTCAGCATTTTGTTGACAAAAAGACTGATTCAAAGATTCATCTTGATGGATAACCACCTCCCTACCTTCTTTAAAAAAAGCACAGAGGGTTTTTTCCTGCGTGATAGGACTGAAGTTTGGGGATTCTCCCTCCCATTGAACCCAGCCACCACCCACGATCATCAGTGAGCATGCAAATGAAAGGCTGACTCCAGACAGACAAATACTATATATACAATATGAATATATATATATATAGCAATTTTAATGAACTTCTGTTCAGTTATAGTTTTAATTTATTGTATTGCTTCATTCTGGTAATGAGAAATAATATAATGTTTTGTGGATTCAGTTCTTTTCTTTTGTTGAATTATTATTATTAATTGCTGTATGGTATTTATGAACACACATTCAAATACACACATTTAACAAATTCAAGCAAGCAATATGTGCTGTTTCTTCTTTGGAGAGAGTGATATTTGACTTTGAGATGCACTCTTTTGCTTTTTGGTTGTCAATTACTACTCACATCCAGGCAACGAGAGGTTTTTCGTTTATCTCCATTTTGCTAAAAAATAAACATAAAAACGTGGATTTTTTTTTTTTTGTCTAATCGAGGGCTCAAGTATTGACTAAAATGACTGTTTTAGTTTTTATTTTTGACTGTGCACAGAAAAGGCAGATAGCCATACACACTCTGATCACTCTTATACAGTTAGACTTGCATGACAACAACTGTATGCAAACAGATGCATTGATTCACAAGTTCAGGATATGAGAATGTGCACAGAGTGTCTTCTCCGAGCCAGCATCAGTTTGTTTATTACAGGACGTTCCAACAAACCTGAAACCAGACAACACACTCTTACATCGTACTGTATACCCTTACGCTTGCATTTACACATCAAAAACGGGCCCATACACCCTTTTGTTCATTCTCAGGGGATCTAGTGAGCCAAGCCCAGCACAGGGTACACGGTACATCAGCAAAGTGCATGTCCATAACATCTCTCCATCAGTTTTTTGTTCTTCTTTCACAAATCTCCAAAGCTTTGATCAAAACAGTATAAAACCATTGACGGAAAAATCAGGATCTTTGACTTCTGAGGTGAAAAGGAAGGAAAATAAACACAACTTTGCTCTCCTGGTGCGAGATGGTTATTTATTTATGATGTAATTCATGTTTCTTCTTCGACCCTTGATTAGCTTTAATCTTTAGCTATCTCTGACCTTTGACCTTATGCTGCTACAGCTACAAGTTCAGATCAAGTCCTGTGTTTCCCTGAGGTTCACACAACCTCCTTTTCTCCCCTTCCTCCAGAAATTTTTCCAAAATATTGCAATTAATATTTATGCTATGTAACACGGATGATGCAGGCTGTCCCATTTGCTAAATTGTTATTGTATTATTATTATTATTATTACTATTGTTATTATTGTTATTATTATGTAAATAGCAACCATCTAAGAACACTGATGAAGTTAGATGAGTTTTTTTTTTTTTTTTTTTTATGAAATCCTGATACCTTAGGCTGCTTGATGCAAAAATACCTCAGGTTCTATTGAAAGGCTTTTCCTTCCCCTGTACATGTTTTGTGAAAATAAGACAAAAATACAGAAATTACAAAATACAACTCTTGCCTTCCTTTATTGTTGTTGTTGTGTGTTGTTGTGGTGTTCTGTCTTTTAGCAAAACATCTCATGACTCACTGATTGGATTTTAATAAAGCTGGCAGAAAACAATTATCGAATGCATATGTACGACTAATTAACTTTAGGTATCATCATAATTCCAAAGTAATGAATTTGAGATTGCAACTTTATTTTTTAAACTTTAACATTATTGAAAATTTTTTAACTAAAAACAGATTGTTGTGATTGATTGAAGTCCAACGAAACGGCATCAACAGAAATTATTTTTAAGGAATTTTGAATCGGGTGATATCCTGCATAATAAATTAATTTTCACCCATTAACAAAAAGCACAAATACTTATTTTTCTTCAGTAAATGCAAAATATAGCAGTGTCATGGTGAACAGAGGTGGTAAAGGATGCAGACTGACACAATTCAGTTCAGTTTATTTATATCGCACCAAGTCACTGCAGAACTCGGCACTGAACAGAAACATTCATATATATGAAAAATAAGTTAACATTGATTATCTAAGGAGCAGACTACTTTGAGTTTAAAGGCAACAGTGGAAAGGAAAAACTCCCTCATGAGGAAGAAACCTTTAGCAGAACCAGGCTCAGGACATGCGGTCATCTGCTTCGACCGGCTGGGTTCGAGAGGACATGAAGGAGGAACAGATACACAATGGCAGGTCAAAAATCACGTTAAGATGGAAATGGTATCAAATGAAAACTATTGAATAGCAACAATTCATTATAAGGAATGTGTTCATTTTTTCCTCCAGTAGTCTAAGCAGCATAACAAGGCAACCCTAACTATAGGATTTATCAAGAATAAAAGTCTTAAGCCCAGTCTTAAAACTGGACAATGTGTCAGCGTCATGGACAGAAACTGGAAGTTGGTTTCACAAGAGAGGAGCCTGATAACTGAAAGATCTTCCTGCCATTCTGCTTTTGAAAACTCTAGGAACTGCGAGTAAGCCTGCAGTCTGAGAGTGCAGAGCTCTGTTAGGAAAATATGGAACAATAAGACCTGCAATATAAGATGGGGCTAGGTTGTTGAGAGCTTTGTAGGTTAGAAGTAAGATTTTGAATTCAATTCTGAATTTGACACAAGGAACTCCAATTAATAAAACTCATTCACTTGTTTTTTATGTACTCATTTGTTTTACTCAAAAGAGAATAAACCTGAAAATAAAAATAAAGAACTACCAAAAAAAACAAACAAAAAAAAAACAGTTCCTGACGAGAAAAGCAACACAGCTGTTGGTTTGCGCTCACCTCCATAGACTGTCTGGTGTAATACCTGCTTCTTCTCAGCACATATAAATACACCAGAAGTTTGAGGTGTTTCTCTGCCTGTCCAGCTCTTCCTCAGCAGTGTCAGTCTGTGGACGCAGGAGTTGCACTTCGACTGGTCATGGTGCAGCGTTTGCCAATGATGCGATGTATTTGAACAGCACTTTTGCTTCCAGGGTATGGGAGCATGAGATAAGTGCTGTGTATTTGTGTGAAAAAAAATCGAGAGAGAGGTATTTTCCCCAAGAGGACCCAGAATACAACGATGTTCCCAAAATAAAAAAATAAAAACAGTGCCCATATCCAGCAGCAGGCAAACAGTTCAGTACATCGTCTCAGTGGGGTTTTAGTTTCATGATGCCACACTGGATTTTCACCTTACACCATTAAACATCTCTCTTAAAAAAAAAACAACTCTCTTGTTGTTTTTTATCAAGCCTAGACAGCCAAAATCTGTATAGCTGAAATAAATAAATACACATAAGCACAAATAGACTGCAAAATCAGCTGTCCTTCAACCTGTTTCATTGTGTTGAATAAGTGGGAAGAGGTAATGGTATTACCAGGCTCTCCAGCTGAGCCCCTCTAGTTTTCTTCTGTGTTGTAGGACCATCATGGGAATTCCCCTCAGATAAAACCACCATCTCAATGAAATGCAAAGCAAATCCCCCCTTTCTTTCATTCAGACTCTCTACTGCAAGCTTTGTATCCGCCATGCTGGTGTGAGTATTCCAGATCATACCGGATAATCCTTTCAATGTGTGCTTCTTCCTTGTGTCTTTGTGTGTGTATGTGTGTGTGTGTGTGTGTGTGTGTGTGTGAGAGAGAGAGAGAGAGTGTGTTTGTCTTTCAAGGTGCCCCAAGCTTGAATTATATTGATCTGCATCTCAGGTAACCTGCCTCGTCTGCAGTCTCTCCTGTTGTGCTGCAGTCTGCACTTCTGAGCAGGGTTCCTGCTGCTAATGTTCCCCAAAATATCTTTCTGATGGAATATTTCAGAGCTCTTTCCTTGTTTTGCTTCTTATCACATACATATTTACTGACTCGAGTGATTCTGTGCTCTGGTTTAATTAGTTTAATTATATGTGGTACAATACAGGTGCATGTCTGAAGGAGAAAAGCCATACAAATTGTAAATACAGGATACACAAATATGGAAGTATAACTAATGTTTTATCCAGATTTGTGATATGTTTCTATGTGTATGCATGCAAATCAGGTGGATGTTATTTGTATTTGGTCAAATTATGCAAATAAAGAGAAATGTTTAAGGGAAATAGATGACTGGACGGGGATGATGCGCTGTGGCAACTCCTGAAAGGGGAACAGCCGAAAGAAAAAGAAGAATTTAAGGAAAATCATTGACTAAATTTTGAAGAGGTTATGAAAACAAAGTAACCAATAAAGATTTCAGTTTCCACTATAAACATACAGACATGTGATTTAAGAACTTTATCCTTGATTTGAGAAGATTTTCAGAATTTGAGTGAAGAGACCACATTCAGTCAGATTTTGTCCATCAGAATGTTAATCCACATTTAATTTCACAAAACACTACAGGTACAGTCAAAAAAGCAAAGGAAATTATTTTCTAAATGCTTTCCTAGATATTTTTCATGTACTTGATGGAAATCATGGTCGAACAAATAATAGAATTTTTTTATTTATTTATTGTATTTAGAGAGAAAAAAACAGCAATGGGACTCTGAATGCAATAACAATAATTAATCTTCTTCATACATCAAAGTTAGTCATGGAGTTCCTCAGGGTTCTTTGCTTGGACCAATACTCTTTACCTTATATATGCTTCCATTAGGTAAAGTTATTAAACAGCATGGGAATTTTTTTCATTGTTATGCTGATGAAACACAGTTATATTTGTTCATGAAACCCAATGAAATAAAGAGATAATTCAACCATTGTTAAGAATAATATCTTATGTGCTCTAGATAGGGCTTTGAACAAATAACGTTTAGAGAAACAGTTTTATTCTCCCTGAATTGATGAGCTAATATTTAGTCCAAGCCATGCTAAGCCAACTTAAAAAAAAACTTTAACCTTTTAGCAGTTCATGCTAAATCAATTTGAAAAATCTTTTTCACATTCACATTATAATATTCCAACAGAAATATTGTGATATTGCTGCTCGTTGTTGCGCAAGATGCACCTGAATTGTTACAGTCTGTATTTCTGTTTGCACTTAACCATAAACTTCCATTTAAGCAACTTTTTTTTTTCAATTCAACCTTTATTTAGACAGATAAATCACATTTTGAAGTAGAGAGGTATAACATTTTTAAAGCACTCTTTGCACACACCACAAAATA